CTATGTAAATGGAAGGTCATGGGGTATTAGGGTTTTACATGGATGTAACCCTAATCCTCCATAAATATATAAAGGGTCTTGGCTCACAAAATTGGGACAAGTGGTGTGAAAATACGAGTGGGCCGATTTTAGTGTGCATACATATTCTCTCAAGTTCTTCCAAGGTGTTTTGGTGATTTGTGATTTCCATTTGAGGCTTCCACACTATTGGGCTAAGCTCTTAAAGCTTGGATACATCAAGCTACATCAAAAGGTATGTCATCTAACTAGAACTTTGTAGTATAGGTGCTTCATAATATACTAGTTAGGATGAAACCTTGGAATAGTTAATATTTGCATGTATAATAGAGAAAACATAGATCCAAGGTTATAGGGTTGCATGTACACCATAGGGAGTGTTAGAATGCTCAAAACCCCACAGATGATTCCAGAATTTACTCGGCGTTTGTCCCCGTACACCATAAATGACTCTTTTCCGGGTGGGTTTACCCTTACTATCTTCTTTCGGCATTGAATCTCAGCATCGTTGGCGCTAAGCCAATCCATTCCCAGAACGATGTCGAAACCGTTCAATTCTATGGGTAACAGCTCCTCGTGGAATTCGTTTCCGGTTAGGTCGATGACTATGTTCCTAATACGCTCACTAACAGGTACGAACTTGCCACTGGCAACTTCCACAATTAGGGATTTCAAGTTTTCTACAGGCAATGTTTTTTCCTCCAAATCTATGCGGATACAAAGAATAGTTGCTCCCGAATCAAATAGTATATTGGCAGGCAATCCATTACAAGAAAGGTACCTGAAGCGACGTATGCTGCCTCCTTTGCAGCCTCGAGCGTCATCTGGAAGGCTCTTGCCTTCGGCTTCGGTGGAATGTTGGGTCTTCCTGCCTCCTCCTTCTTCGGGCAGTCCCTCGAAATGTGCCCCTCCTCGTTGCACTCATAACAGACCTTCTTAGTGAACGTGCATTCGTTGGCATAGTGTCCAAGCTTCCCACATTTGAAACAAGTGACTCCTCCGTCACATTTCCCCTGGTGCTTCTTCTTGCACTTATCGCACCATTTTGTTTTGGCTCCTCCTCCTCTCGAACCAAACTTCGAGAATTTACTCTTCTTACCGGACCTCGAGGATCCGTCAAATATCCTTTTCTCACCAACCTCGACCCTCTCCAGACCCCTTTCCTTCTGGGGTTCCACATTCGTAGCTGCTCGAACAGCTGATTTTAGAGTGGTTGCCATCTGGACTGTTGGCCAATTCCATTCCAAGTCGGCTGGAAGTCCATTTGCGAACCTCTCAATTTTGGAGAGTTTAGAAACATCCCAAAATACGATCCAAAAATTTTTGTTTTAATATTACTAAAATCACATCATCCAATGTCATACATACTAAGAATCATAGAGTGAGTAACTCAAAAGTCAAGTAATTGTGTCAAAACAAATATTGTATCAATCATATCGAAATATCTGAATAAAAATCCCAGGATAAAACTGAAGCTGTGGTGTGTGCCATGCCATCATCCCGAGCTATTCCCCTTACTTGCGGAAGTACCTGAAACCAAAAACTGAAACTGTAAGCACAAAGCTTAGTGAGTTCCCCAAACTACCACATACCATAACTGGCATGTAAGCAAATACTGGGCCCCGCCCACTGCATCGGGCCCCGCCCGGCATCGGACTGATATCCGGAACTAGCTTTGGGCCCCGCCCACTTCATCCGGCCCCGCCCCGCATCGGACCGAAGTCCGGAACTAACCTGGGCCCCGCCCACTACATCGGGCCCCGCTCGGCCTCGGACCGAAGTCCAGAACTAGCTTGGGCCCCGCCCACTACATCGGGCCCCGCCAGGCATCGGACCGAAGTCCGGAACTAGCTTGGGCCCCGTCCACTACATCGGGCCCCGCCCGGCATCGGACCGAAGTCCGAACTAACGAGCATAGCATAGCATAATCATAACTACTGGCATAAACACATATACTGCATACTGCATCGGACCGAAGTCCGGAACTCATATCACAAAACATGCTTGAATCACAAAGACATCAAGCACACTGAACCTACTGCATCAGACGAGGTCTGGAAACTACTGCTAACTAAACGGGCCGGCATTATGGCCGTAGACCCGTTCCTACTGGAAGGAAAACTCACCTCGTAAGTTGGATGCTGAAAAAAGCTACTCGGGAATTGTCTGCTACTGCTCCGGTATCTCCCCGGCTACAATTCCCATAAATATACTCAATCAAATACTGATAAACTAAACTGGGGTGAATGAATATTTTACCCCCGGTCAAAGTCAACTTCCTGGTCAAAGTCAACCTCCAGTTCACCGGACTCGCCGAGTTGGGCCGCCAACTCGCCGAGTCCCTTTCATCCATTCTAGTCCTCTACTCGCTTCTACTCGTCGAGTTTGGCGAAGACTCGACGAGTTCTTCTTCGATACATACATCGAGTCTAACTTCATCCGACTCGCCGAGTTGTATGAACACTCGTCGAGCCTGAAGAACAACTCGCCGAGTTGAAGAACAACTCGCCGAGTCCCAAGCATGCTATTACTATACAGTCGATTCTAATCGATTTCAGTGCTTCCAAATCATAGATCTAGGCTCTTAGGGTTGGTTTTACACGTAAAGTTTCCAACTTTACGTGCATGCATGAAGAGATGAGGCTAGAACATCAAAATAAGCTAACAATGGGGTCTTTTAGGGTTTGGAACTCGACCTTGGGTGCATAAAGGCAGCTACTTTGAGCTCCTACAGCTCAAATATACTCAGATCTATGATCCATTTCCTTATAGGAGTCCCAATCTCGAGTTTGGATCCAAAAAGTCCCAAAAAGAAGCACATCTAAGCATACAAGACTATCAAATGGAAATAACAAGCAGGTACAAGCTTTAGTTACCAGAATGTGAGCTGATGATCAAGAGACTCTGGATCTTCTTCTTCTCCTTTGGATCCTTCCTTCTTTCTTTCTCTTCCAAAACCTCCAAACTAGCACAAACACACTCAAGCTCAACAATGGGGGCTAGGGTTTACAGGGGAAATGCTCTAAAGGTGCTGGAGGCTGGGGTGGGAGGCTATAATGATGTTTATATACGGTACAAACCCTTGAAATTAGGGCTTCATCCAGACAGGCAGACTCGCCGAGTCCTTTCATATGGACTCGCCGAGTAGCCAACTTAAAATGCGTGAACATCCCGTCTCTACTCGACAAGTTGGGCTACAGACTCGTCGAGTATCCCTTAAGAAAATGAAAATTACTTTATTTAAATCACATACCAGAAATGGGGCGTTACAAGTCCGGTCGGCAACAGACCATAGATCCGAACAAATAACAGCATATCAGGCACAAAACATTTAGCACATAAAAGCATTTTAGACATAATTCCTAAAATAAGCTAGTGCTCACACCTCACAATCATTGGTTAGCATTCTAAGTTTAAGTCTAGAAATTCTACAAATTCCTAGTTCGCTTAAACTAATGCTCTGATACCAATTGTAACATCCCCATTTTCACGGCCAGAAAAGACCGATTTTGTTTATGCTTGTTTGAAAATTAGAGTAACATTTTACATAAAAGTGTTGCGGAATTTGTTCCCAAAATAAAAATATGATAAAGATTTATCAAAGCATTTCCGTAGAAATGCTATTTCATTAAAAAGACTCGGGATGTCATGTTCGATACAGATCAAAAGCATAAACAGTACAATATAAGCCTTACTACATTATTTCATATCTACAGGCCTATATACGTAATCCCTCATCCAAAACATCACATCTATGTTCGAACGCCACTACCTGTAATACATGAAACTGAGTGGGTCAGGCTTGGGAGCCTGGTGAGCACATAGGGTTTTCAACCCACAATAAATAAATTTATTAATTTCATCAACCAACAATAACCCGATTACCCTTTCCCGTTATCCTCACATTACGTCCCTAAACACCTATCATAAGGGACCTAGACTAAGGATCATCATCGGGATGGACAATGGAACGTGTGGATCAATAGTAGCCCGGTATGTCGAAACCCGTTGCTATGGTCCCCCCTCGACCAAAAAGCGCTGCCTATATAAGAAATATTGAGTTCATCGGAGGAGGTATGTTGTCTCTAGACTCTCTCGCTATGATATCATCTAAAGGCCTTACACAATCCGCTGACTAGAGCGTCGGAGCGTCCTCCCGAAATCCCCTCCCGGAGAATGTCTGACGTGTTTCTCGTTTGTGACTACAGGTTCCGCTTGGAAGATTCCTTAGCCAACCGGAGTCACGCTTGTGGAACGACGCCACAACATCGGCGCCATCCGTTGTATGGCAACACGAACAAAACTTGCACAACCATACCGACGCCTGCTTCCGTACGCCAGATCACAGCTTTGTGTGGGGATCAAGATGGCTTCTCTCGTATGGCGTTGGCTGTCCGGGGTAGCTAACCCTCTCGTGTGTCTCGTCACGACCTAGCCTCGACGTTGGCTTTTGTTGGCTCCCGGGCCTAGCCAGTTAGTGTCGTCCAATTGTTTTTCCTTTGATGCGGTCAAGTCAATGGTCGCTTCGCTATGACTGGATGTCATTGTCTGTATGGTGTAATTCATCATATATATATATATATATATATATATATATATATATATATATATATATATAGGTTCAGTGTTTAAACTAAGTATTGTGTTATTGTATGCATAAATGTGGGCCAATCAAAATTAAATAAATAATTAAATAGATAAATAAGGGTAATTTAGTCATTTGTTTAATAACTTCTAAAAATAATCCCTAGAATCATGGTATCTCTCCAGTTTAAATCTCGTTCCCCTCTTTATCTAAAAACCGATTCTGAAAACCCTAAATTGAACAAATCGACACCACCAGCGACCCTTTGTGGGGATGCCCTTCATCGTCTTCTTCATACAGCAGGACATTTCGATCGATCGCAAGGGGGGATGAGGAAGCGACTTCGGTACTTGTTCACGTGTTTAGCGCTGAGATCGGGAGTCTCAGTAGGGAGGAGCTATGGCGGAAGCTCTGGGACAGTACCTTTCTCAACATCCTGACCACTCAACCTCACGTGATTTCCCTCCACCAGCAAAGTCGCGAAAGCAAGGGCTTCTGCAACCGCCCAATCAACACCCTCCCCTGATTGGATCATATTTAATCGGTCGCCCCTGTTATCGTACTCAACAGCTAAGGGTCGTTTTTGTCCGATTTTTGCTGTTGTACACCCAAAGCGAACGTTCGCAGGTGAACCAATTTTGACTTTTCGTTGGTCAACCCATGTGTTTCGAGTCAATTTCACAGATGTTTGCTTACAGATGGAGTTATGAATCCGAGTCATTCGTAGTTGATTGCAATGCAGTTCACCACAACGAACCCGAGCCAAACGGTTATAGACTCGGTACGAAACCCAGCCAACAGGTTCGCTGCGAACCATTGTCCTCCCTGATGTCGATTTTTTTACTAGCTTTCACTCTTTCTTCTTTTCCATGGTTTCTGTTATATTTATTTGTTGTTCTATCAATTGATGCATAACTCTTTCTTCCTTTCTATGTTTCTTCGTTCTTCAATCTGTTCATACGGATTTTCAACTAACAGGATTCATGAATTCTTTGTATTCTGAAATTGGTTTCTGTGCAGGTTTGCTCGATTGAACACGGTTGTTTACAAGTCTTCGCTTCATCATATCCCTTAATAACTTATGTGAGTAATCACTGATTTAATTAATTGTGATTTTAAGTTTCTTCTAGTGAAATATTCATGTATTACTGCTCTATTGTGATTAGAAGTAGTGGGACTTGTTAATTTGCGTGTTCGTAATTTTATGATTGGATTAGATTTAGAAACTCAAATCCTTAGATCAAAACCATGACTTTAGATCCAAAATGTTTGTTATAGTTAATGCGATGATGAATGAAATCAGCATATTGTGATTGGAGAAACATACTCATCAAATCCCTCCTCAAATCCTTGTATGTCTCTTTCTAATGTAATGGGTCTAGCTTCAAATGAAGTCTTTGATTTTTGCATTCCAAGTGTTTGTGAAAAGTCTTGGTTTGGAATTTAGAAGAACATTACAAATTATAAGTATATTCTTGATTGTTGTCAATTCTGCATAACTAAATTAGAAAATTGGGACAAAATTGATTGTATTTTTTTTATTTAACTTAAAATCAAAACTGAATTGTGTATCTATACAGGTGATCCATTGAGTGTATGTTATGGTCTAAGGGTACAACTTCCCATTGCAACAACAATAGCAACAACCAAATGATTCAGATTCTCCCCGGAAAAATCAACCTGCTCCAACAGAATGCATACCGTAACTGAATCTTGAATTCCAATTCTATCATAATGGAATCACGAATTCCAATTCTGTTGGAATGGAATATGGATATTTTTCTCACTAATTTATGCATTGGATTTGTTTCCACAGAAGCAGCTGATGCTTGAAGAATGGACCATGAAATTGAAAGTGATTCTTAGCAACATTATTCTTTTAGAATGTATTAGTGTCTTTGTTAGATTTTGATTTTTTTTCCCGATTTGAAAGTTTTTTTAGTTTTATTCTTTAAAAATAAATGTAATTCTTAGCAAATGTTACATGTATTCTATAAGAATTAATGTAATTTTTGTTTTAATTCATCAACTGATGGTTCGAGAACTTTGTTATTCTACAATAATTTTTGTTATTTTTGAACATACTCAAACATATTCTGTCAGAATGTCCGAACTAAAAACCTTATAATTTGTAAAATCGGATTTTTAAAATTAATAGAATCTTTGATCCCTTAAAATATGCAAATTTTCTTTATTAAATCTATGTTAACTGACTAAAATACCCTTCTAGTTAAATTAAATGGTATTTTTCAATTATATTTAATTAAATAATATGTATTAATCACTTTCTTAAAATAAGTAAAATGATTGGCCTACATTTATGCATACAACAACACAATAATTACTTTAAATAGAATAACCTAAGCCTATATATATATATATATATATATATATATATATATATATATATATAATATATATATATATATATAAAGGTAACCATATAAAATATTAGATTACTCAATTTTCTTGAGTATATTAAGGTTACAATTTGATAATATCATTTGTTTCATAAAAATAATACAATAAAATTATAATAAAATTGCAATGTCTTTAAAATTACAACACCCGTGTATTACACGAGTTTATAAAAAAGAAAAGTTTAATATAAAATTATAAGTATTATATATTCTTTAAAGTAATAGTTTTAAATAAATACAAAGGATATAATAAATAAAGTAAGTAATTTAATATAAAATGTAGAAGATTTGAAAGGTTGTAGAGCATTTATTATGAAATTTAATAGAATAATCTACCTTACATATATAAATCTCACCAAAATCTGGATTTTAAATTGGGTAAATAGCATAAAAAACACTCCGTTTACACCAAAATTCTAATTTGACACCGTATTTTTTTTGTCTCAAATTTGACACTGTGTTTTCCAATTTGTTACAATTCTGACCACTTGACCGGTTAACCAAGTTACATGCTGATGTGGCATAATGACGTGTCAGTTTTGATGATGTGTCATCATTTTTTCCAATTTTTCCAATTTTCCATTTGAAACCGTATAAATATATTTTTTTATTACATTTTAAACCGTATAAATATATTTTTTTTGTTTAAAAACCACATTTTTATTTAAATACAAGGTTTTTTTTTTTTTTTTTTTTTTTTTTTTTTTTTTTTTTTTTTTTTTACATTCAAAGTATAATGTTTAAATATGCATTAGTTATATCATGAGAATCAAACTAACCATAAACTTCTAATAAGATGTGAAAATTTCAGGGGTTGCAAACTTGACATCCGAGTTTTAATCGACTACACGCCTCCAAACCTAGAAACTCATTTTAAAGTTGCGTATTTAATATAAAATACGGTTTTTATATAACTAATACATATTTATACATAAAATTATGGTTTGAATGTAAAAAAAAACTTGTATTTATACAAAACTATGGTTTTTAATTGAAATGGAAAATGGTCAAAATTGAACAAAAATTGATAAATGATGTTCGATTTGGAACAAAAAAACATAGTATCAAAATTGAAAGAAAAATTAAACTTAGTGTCAAAATCGAAAAAAAAAATGAAAAACTTAGTGTTTTTTTGTGGAAAAAAGTTCAATTTTGACACGTCAGCATATCATGTCAGCATGCCACATCATCAAAACTGACACGTCATCATGCCACATCAGCATGTAAGCTGGTTAACCGGTCAAGTAGTCAGAATTGTAACAGATTTGAAAACACGGTGTCAAATTTGAGACAAAAAAAATACACGGTGTCAAATTAGAATTTTGGTGTAAACGGAGTGTTTTTTATGCTATTTACCCTAAAATCTAATACGGACTTCCATACAAACAATTACACTGACAATAATCCAACTTACCATAATATTTTTGATAGAAAATTTACGTGAGTTATGTGCGATATTATATGTACATTCGATAAATAAAAATGAAATAGTAGTGATTGTTGATTTAAGTTCCAATTGAGTAGGGTACACGGGGTACTTTGGCGTGTGGACATGGATATTTGCCAAAGTTCTTAAATAAGTGATTAATTAATTAGTTTAATTAGGAAGAGTGGAAAAACAGGGAATTTAATGAAGATTAAAAAAATAAATAAAAAATTGAGATCACGATAAACGCGAGATTTGGGATAAATTGACTTTCAACAAATATTTAAGGGATCGGGTGGAGTCATGTCTTAGACCCGACTCTTGCGCCAAGTTGTTGACTAACAACTCCCACTTTTATTGTTTTTTAGAAATTTTAGTTATCTCGTACCCTCTTTTCATACATACATCCTTACAATGGGTGCACTTCAATTTCCATACATGAATATTTATAAATAAAGAAATAAATAGTTACAGTTTAAATTTGGAATGCTAACTATATAATATAATCTCTTCGTACATTTCATTTTTGTAGTCTATAATAGAGTTTAGAGTTGGGTTGGAGATCAACCACTCTAAACTCTATTTTGGACAAATATAAGTGGAGATGTTTTTATTAGTATTATTTTTAATTTTTTTAAAGGAAAAATGATTTAATATGGTAATATAGTTTTTATTTTGTACATATTGTCATTGATATTTCTTTTTGTCACGTTTGACCATTTACATTAGTTAATTAAAAAAAATTAAATATAAAGGATTAAATATTTAAGACCTTTTGATTTGTAAGAAAATAAGAAAAAAAAATGAATTATTAAAATTGTTTTTTTTATATTTTAAATTTAAATAAATAAACAAAATAAATAATGAGTTTTAATTTGAGAATTTTGAAATAAGAATGTAAGTCCATTAATGAAATTGATATCATTTATACTATTTATTGTAATTATTACATTAAAGTATTATGTGGAATTTATTAAAATAGATAAACCCATAAAATGACATGTGAAAAAGAAATTAATTCAAAATAACCACAAAATGACATTTGACAAATTGAATGAGAATGTGACATGTGACAAAAAAACATTCATTTATTAGAGTAGATTATTTGTTGATACATTCAATCATTAAAACCAATTATCTCAGGTTAAGAAAAATGGTTTAATAGGATAATATAGTTCTCAGTTTATACATATTTAGTTCTTAATATTTTTTTGTTGTAAAAATAAAACATTGTTGTTTTTGCACACATTTAGTTATTATGACTGTTTTCTTCAGATATTGCACACGGCATTATACGTTGTACAATCATTAATAAATTGTTCTTATACAAACCATGTATGAGAACACCTCATTAATGATTATTATGCGTGGTTCAATTTGACATGTTATTCATTAATCCACTGCCAAAATTTGCACTTTACTTGGTTTATTCGGTAACAAAAAAAAAATTAAGCATGTAAGAAAGAATGTCAATTTAAAAAGAACACAAAACTTATTTGTAGAAAAAAGGTCAAAATCGACATACCAGAGAATTACGAAAGACTCTAAACATTTTGTTAGGGCGTTTTTTTGTCTTAGAAGTGAACATTCAAGTTAGGAGGAAGCATGCACAAAGATTCTCGTAAACTATAGAGATAGATGAAACTGAAGCCGAATATATTTTCCTTTTGGAGAAAACTAGGGCACCAACAATATTTGACTGATTTGTGAATTATGTTACTAATATAAACGAGAGACGAGTCACATATCAGAACATCTCATTAGTGATTGTCATACGTAAGATGTCGTGAACAAAACCTAAAAACACCAGTCATAAAGACTAACTGTGTACAAAAACAATAATTTATTTTACAAAAAAAAATATTAATGACTAAATATATACAAAATGAGAACTATATTACCTATTAAGTCATCTTACCGACTTAACCTGGAGTAGCCAATTGTAAATACTGAATATTTATAGAAAACAAA